CAAAAAGACAAACATTGCATTATTTCCCTGACATAAAGTACTTAGAGCAGTCAAAATCACAGTCAGAAAGTAGAATGGTGGTTGCCAGGGGCTAGAGAGAGGAGAGAATGAGGAGTTATTGTTTATTGGTACAGAGTTTCAGTTTTGCAAGATGAAGAGTTTTGAAGACGAATGATAGTGATGGTTGCACAGGAATGTGAACATACTTAATATCATTGAACTATACATCCCCAAAAAATGGTTCAAATAGTACAAAGGGAAAAAAAGTAGTCAAGGCTTTCTAAACCCAAGAGGTTCTTGTCTAATATGCATTTCTTTTTTTTTTCAGACAGAGTCTCGTTCTGTCGCCCAGGCTGGAGTGCAGTGGCAGGATCTTACTCACTGCAACCTCTGTCTCCTGGGTTCAAGCTATTCTCCTGCCTCAGCCTCCCGAGTAACTAGGTTCACAGACATGTGCCATCACACCCGGCTTTTGTATTTTTAGTAGAGACAAAGTTTCATCACGTAGGCCAGGCTGGTCTTAGAATTCCTGACCTCAGCTGATCTAGGGCTCCTAAAGTGCTGGGATTACGGGCATAAGCCACTGTGCCTGACCTCTAATACACATTTATATCAAGGGCTTTAGAAATAGATACTTGAAGGCCAGGCACGGTGGCTCATGCCTGTGATCCCAGCACTTTGGGAGGCCAAAGGGGGCAGATCACCTGAGGTCAGGAGTTCGAGACCAGCCTGGCCAACATGGTGAAACCCCATCCCTACTAAAAAGGTGAAAAAAACAGCTGGGCCAGGCGTGGTGGCTCACGCCTGTAATCCCAGCACCTTGGGAGGCCGAGGCAGGTGGATCACGAGGTCAGGAGATCGAGACCATCCTGGCTAACAAGGTGAAACCCCGTCTCTACTAAAAACACAAAAAAATTAGCCAGGTGTGGTGGCAGGTGCCTGTAATCCCAGCTACTCAGGAGGCTGAGGCAGGAGAATCGCTTGAACCTGGGAGGTGGAGGTTACAGAGAGCCAAGATAGCACCATTGCACTCCAGCCTGGACAACAAAAGTGAAACTCCATCTCGAAAACAACAACAAAAAAGATACTTGAAAGCCTGTATTGAGATGCTCTAGAATCACAACAGCTGAAGCAGTATGAATGATTTAAAACGTAAATGTCAGGTCAGGTGCAGTGGCTCATGTGAGTAACAGCACTTTGGGAGGCTGAGGCGGGCAGACAGCTTGTTGGGGACCAGCCTGGGCAACATGGTGAAACCACATCTCTACAAAACCATACAAAAATTAGCTGGGCATGGTGGGGCATGCCTGTAGTCTCAGCTGCGCGAGAGGCTGAGTCAGGAGAATCTCTTGAACCCAGGAGGCGGAGGGTGTGGTGAGCTGAGATCGTGCCATTGCACTCCAGCCTGAGCAACAAGAGCAAAACTCCGTCTCAAAAATGAATAAAACAAAATAAAATAAAAAGAGAAAACTTTACACAATGTTTTTTTCCCCCCTGGGACAGAGTCATTTCTCTGTCATTTTTCATCCTGTCGTCCAGGATGGAGTGCAGAGGCCTGATCTCGGCTCATTGCCACCTCCGCTTCCCCGCTTCAAGCAATTCTCCTGCCTCAGCCTCCCAAGTAGCTGGGTTTACAAGCATGGCCACCATATCTGGCTAATTTTTGTATTTTTAGTAGAGATGGGGTTTCACCATGCTGGCCAGGCTGGTCTTGTACTCCTGACCTCAAGTGATCCACCCTGCTTGGCCTTCCAAAGTGCTGGAATTACAGGCATGAGTCACCATACCAGGCAGGAACTTTATACAGCATTTTAAAGATTTTCTGTACTTTTTAAAAAATGTCAAATAAAATGAAGTATTTACTCCAATTGCAGTCAAACTTTGATTAATTCCATCTTGTAAAAGTTGAATATTTTCTATTTCTTATTTTTTCTTTTTTCAAATTATTATTTTTCATTTCTTACTAATTTTTTATTTTCTTTTTAAAAATTATTTTATTTCTTACTGATTTTTAAAAACCCCTTTTTAAATTTACATTGAAAAAGTTGGCCGGGCATGGTGGCTCACACCTGTAATCCCAACACTTTGGGAGGCCGGGCAGGTGGATCACGAGATCAGGAGTGCCAGACCAGCCCGGCCAATATGGTTAAACCCCTCTCTACTAAAAATACAAAAATTAGCCGGGTGCGGTGGTGCACACCTGTAGCCCCAGCTACTTCGGAGGTTGAGGCAGGAGAATCGCTTGAATCCAGGAGGCGGAGGTTACAGTGAGCCAAGATCGCGCCACTGCACTCCAGCCTAGGTGACAGAGTGAGACTCCGTCTCAAAAAAATAAAAATAAATAAATAAATAAAAATAAAAGTTTCTGGCCAGGCGCCGTGGCCAACATAGCGAAACTCCGTCTCTACTAAAAATACAAAAAATTAGGCGGGCATAGTGGCGGGCGTCTGTAATCCCAGCTACCCAGAAGGCTGAGGCAGGAGAATTGCTTGAACCCAGGAGGCAGAGGTTGCAGTGAGCCAAGATTGCGCCGTTGCACTCCAGCCTGGGTGACAAGAGCGAA